CCTTTGAAAATCAGTGTCAATGCGTACCTCTTCTCCTTTTTAAAGACGAGAAAAACGGCATAATCTTGAGAGTCACAGAGACTTTGTCTGGGTACCTGCCTCACCACTAGCAGCTCCATCAAGAACCAGCTTTTTTCTAAAGTACTCAACCAGGTGCTGCCATTTTTGCTTATGAGAGTTACCCTTTGCTGCTGTAATCACTTAGTCCCAGCTCTCTCATTTGAAAACACCATTTGTGCCTCCCTTTGCTAATTGGCATGCATGTGAAGCCCCTTGGCTGCAGTGTTGTTATTTGTATTGCTCTGTCTTCCCTGCACATGGGATTAAAGTCTGTCACAGCCTCCAGCTGCACAGGTTTTCGTTCAAGCTATAAAGTACTGCTTTTAACACCAATGAACCCAAACTTAACCCCTGCTCTTGCTCGCAGCAGTAACCATCACATGCATAATGTAGGAAGTAATTTTTAAGATGATGGTATGAATACTGGTATACTCTGACTCATTTTGACTACTGATAATATAACATAATAATTACTATTTTCAAAAAGGGATGATTGAACCTCTGTAAACAGAATTCTTCTGCTTTCCTGGAAATTCATCACTTTGAAAAAGCAGCAAATCTTGTTTGGTTATTACAAATCATATTTTTAAAATAAGTTATCTTTTTTTTTCAGGTGATCTGGCACTACGTCAATTTAAATTTTAATTTTAATATAATGGAACTCTACTACATCCTCAGTACCATCAGTAGCCTGTTCATTCTCTATGCAAAAAGTAGTGTTGTGATATACAATAAAGAGGCAGCTATTTCTTTCAGCAGTGAAGTACTGCTACTGATGGAGGCATTTCACTGTGAGCAGGAAGACTGCGAATCTTTAGGACATGCAGTGAATACTCCCTTCAACAGCAACTGCATGAGGAAGGCAGATAATTTGAAGCACTGATTAACTGAGGATCTAGGGATTTATTCCGTACAGAGGATGGAAACAGGTTCTGATTGTGCAATCTTCCTAATACAATGACAGGTCAATGGTTCATCTGTAAATAAAATTTCTGGACCATCTATAATACAACCCAAACTTTCCTTGAGAAACATAAGCCAATCTGATCTTTGGCTTAAGAGGTTGGATGGACTCTGCTTTCATTCAGCACATTGAGAGTTGCTGCACTAAGAAGAACAAGACCCAGCAGAAGAAATAACGAAAGCAGTGACAGAGATACAGCTTACAAATCTGAGAACAATATTTTTCTTGGTTTATAGACCTAGCTGCTAAATCTAGGAATCCTGGTCAGGCTTGATTTAGAACCTATTTTTTCTCTCCCCAGAATAGTACTGAATGATGCAGTACAAATATTCAATCATCACCCCTCTTTTACAGTCTCCTCTTGACTATGACTTTCAGATTTGCATCCACCATAAACCCTTGGTTCAGTAAGCAATACCTCAGCAATTCAAGCTGCCTGCTTGTAAGGCTTCTTGTGGCACCACAGGCTATGTTTCTGTTCTCCTCTGCACATAAATGTGCTTCTCTTGAGCAGAAAAGTACTGAGCTGCAGCTGTAGCGTTGTCTTGGTATGTCTCCTCTGTTCACCTCTCAAGTGCACATCACTTCTGTGGTGGGAGTTCTCTGTGTTGAAATCAACACCAATTCTTAGGGCTCTGCAGCAAAGGTACTGCAGTGACATGGCCCCTCTGTGTACTGCCTTGGCTGTATATGTAATGTACAATACCCAAAAGCAGAAGAGAGGTTTCTGCAGCCTTCCTTCAAGAAAGGATAAGTGGGCCTTACATCAGCTTTAGCTGGACTGCTAGCACTTTGACTGATAAGACACATGACACTGAGTACTTACTTGGACTGGTTTTGTAGTTGTATGGCATCAGCTTTCCAGTGGCAGCATAGTAAATATTGGTCATATCTTCTAGAGAGACACTGAATTATTTCTTTTTATGTTCAGTTTTGTATATGTATAAATATGATTATTTCTCAAAGAAAGTATCCAGAAATGAAGGGTCTCTTCTGCTTGATATTGTAACTCTGAAAGTGAACAATTTATTGCATTGTAAACCCTCTCTCCTAATTTTGCTGCATAACATGAACTGTAGATTTTGCTTTGATATTGAAAGCTGATAATTCACTTTACATTGTATAAAATCCATGGTAATCATCTGCATCTTACGTACACATAACTTTACAGAGCTTGATCAAAGTCAGAGACCCATCACATCTCAAAAGCTACTCAGACAATGTTTTTGGTCTGGGAAATGAGGTCCTGAAAGATTTAAATTCTAGTGCTATTTTACTTAAATGAATACATTTTATTTCTCAGCCACCAGTACCAAGTAGTGAGCTGCACACTAAGCTCATTTCTGCCTCTATCGCTGATTTTATTACCCCCACAACTCACCCGTAATCTGGATCTATCGGCTGCTATCGTATTGCTTCTGATCTGCTATATGTTACATTGCATAAAGGATGTCAGTCCCATGGCTCTTCTCCAAATGTATAAAAAGAAACCAATGAAATATATTTTTCATTCATAACTATTCATACTCCACTAAGCAGGGCTCAGGATACCATGAGGAGGAACATTGCAGGTCATCGAATCAGGAATAGATACCATACCAATAAAAATGCATTTCATTATACGTACCAAATTTTGTTGGAATGCGCTCATCTGAAAGATGACACAATGCGGGATTGTCTCACAGCATTTTCTATGCTCCTGCCCACCCCATTCACCTTATATTTATACAGGACCAGGCTACCAAGTAGACATGCATTTTCCTTGGGAGGTTTGGAATGGGGGTGGCACAAGCCAGCCTTGGAAGAAAGCAGGCATTAAGGATGGACCACAAGTACGTACAACATGAAACTGCTGTTCATGCTGGGGACAGTACTGTGTATTTTGTGGGGACATTTAGCAAAGAGAATACAAGAGACGACTAGTGATGCCATCAAAATCATCCACTTTGCTGATTTATGACATCGTTGCGCATACTAAAACTCTCTTGCTTTCTCTTTCTCACTACAGTTTTACCCTGAAACTTGAATTGCCGATCTGATTCACTGTCCCGTAAGCTGACGAATCTTTGCTTCGCAAGCCATTCATGCGCCTCACGGACTCGACGCTTTCATTCCCAACAGTCATAGTCTGTGCCTGTCCCCAGAGTGTCAGCATAGACAAGCAGCAGCAAGAATGAGGATAGCACAGTGGTAACACAGTGACACACATACACAACACGCAAAGAGAAGAATGGCTAAGTTAGAGAAGACCACCATGCAAAACAATGTGAATCACTTTCAAGGCAAAATAAACTGAGAAAATGGAGAGAGATAAACTCAACTAAAAAGATGCAGAAAATCCCTCCTAAAGAGATGGCCTTAGTAATGTTATTTCCTATTTTGAAATTTGTGCAACCAGATTCATAGGAAAAGTGAGATCAAGCCTGTGCAAATAGATTGGTGTCTCTTACGACAGCAGAATATTTCCTTGTGTTTATTTAGAACATTATTCATTTTGCAAAGAGTCCATGTACTAACTGCCTTAGGATAAACATGGGACTTCTGGAGATTTGGTGTTAAATGACCTTTAATGATCAGCAGAATAATCACTCCCACTGCAGATAAATGACCACTTCCATGAACGAAAAACCTCATATTTTTTGAGTGATGCTGCCAGACACTGCCACTTACCAGTGGTGACTTCTTGCCTGCTTGCTCTTCTCTAAAGAAGACATTGTATCCAAAACTGAAATTACAAACCCCATAGACCAGCTTCTGCTACCATCATGCTGTCTTTGGAAACAAAGGCTTCCAGTGGCAGTGCATCTAGCATGTGTGCCTGCAGATGGACAAACATCTCTGTTCTCTCCTGTAATCCAATCTCAAAGGGAGTCTCAATTCACCTGACAATAATATTAAACCAGAGAACAGCACTGGATTGCATCCCAGAGTGTCCATCAAATATTACTTTAGCTACAGAACATTTATGAGATGGACCTGTCAAAATATAAATGCCCTGCACCATTGCTATCATCCCTCTTGTAAAGGAAACCATCATTTATAGCTTGAAGCGCTTGTGCAGCTCAAGCAAATATTTACTTCACCTAGCAAATGCATATGTATAGTGTAAACCTAAGTGCTTCTACTGATACTGAAAACCAGTGACATAGATGCTGGAAGAATGAAGCCTATATAGTCAAGGGAATGATCGCAAGTCGACTAAAAGTCAAGTTGATGTATATTCTTATCTTTCCATTTAGCAAGAAAAAAATAAGAAAGGTGACAGACTTCCTAAAAATATTTCCAGACTAACATCTAGGTTTAAAACAAGCCTCTCCTCTACAGTCATTGGTATAAAATGAAGCGATAAGGATACTCACAAATAGGTTCTTTGTTAAAAATTTGAAGTTTGCATCAGCAACAAACTGTGAGATAGTAGAATTTAGAAAGGAAATTCTCCTAATCTCCTAACCATGTTTCCTGGTTTCAGTTGGGAAAGACACCAGTTGCTGGTGGTTTAAAAATGAGGGCAGAACTGCCAATCACTCTGCAATGGGCTACTTTAAGGAATCCCCAATTTTAGCATGACTAGCTAGGGTAGCACTAGAAAAGACAGGTCTTAGGCATGTGCTGATGCCAGCACATCTGAATGATGTCAAGGAATTAATACCAGTCCTCTATCGGTGTCATTGCTTCCAAAAGCTCCTTATTCACCAGTGGGTGCCACATAGTGCCACAATATTTGTAAAGGTGCAGCTGCCTCAACAATTGCAAGAAGAAAGGAAAATTCTTGGAATTAGTGACATTTATTGATAACTCTATAAATTGCAGATAAACCCAAGGGCCAGTTATCAGCTCTCTATCAATGAGTAAGTCACTCAAAAGGAAACTTTAGAATGAGTCCTGAAAGGGCAAGAAGAACTGAGGGGGGAAATCAGCTGCATGCCAGCATGTTGTCAGAGCAGAGAGAGTCACCCCAAGCAAAGAGCAGCTGTACCTTGTTTTGTCTTCTTTGCCTTCTTCGAAGCCTTAGAAACTCCTTGTGCTGCCGTGAAACAAAGTTGACTGCTGCATATTCCAGTAACGCAGCAAAGACAAAGAGAAGGCACACGGCCATCCAGATATCAATAGCTTTTACATAGGAGACCTAGAAAGAAATAAGACGCAGCATGTTACATTTCAAACTTCGTCATAAGCTGAAGATATTGTGGTGAAAAAATAAACATATTTCTGCACAGCATGAGTTCATTGTTTATTGTTTTGATTTGTTAGTTTCTTGGCTTATAACAAATAAATAATCCAACTATTAAGGGAAATGCAAGTTCACAAAGAATACACAGATTATGAGCTACACTCTAGGAAAAGAAACAGGATTAGTCTAACAAAATACAAGTGCTCTTATAGTCCCACTCACAACTCATCAGAAAGAACACAAATACAGGGTGTGATATGATACCTATTGGAAAACAGCTCTAGAAAATTTATAGTTATCACCTTCTTCATCTTTTATGAATCAGTTATCATGCTGATTAATTAGACCTTAAAGTAAACTCAGGATACGATGTCCTATGGGTTGATATGAATTTAGTAATTAAATATTTGATTGTACTTCCGTGATCTTTGTCTGACATTGCTATAAGAAAAATAAATCTTCACAGATATTATCTACTACAAATACCCAAATACCAGATGTCTCTGTTCCACAATAAAATCTGTCCACAATAAAATCAGATATATTACAGCACTGCAATGTCACAAGATTTTTATTGTATTATCCTCAGTGGGCCAAACTACAGCCAATTAATGAGCTACACACTATGCGTATCAAAGTTACATTTTCCTCCATAGCTATATTTGGTTTCTAGCTTTCTTTGTAGTCTTGCAGTTTTTAAGCAAAGATCTTATGATTAGGCAACAGCAGGTTGTCTCTTTTGTTTATCAGGCACTACATCCAGAGTGGAATTAAAATCATCTGACTTTTAATGTCTAAAATGTGCATTTGAGCTAGTTGCCTGAACTACTTTCATATATATAATTCGAGGAATGAAGAAGAATAGGTGTTTCTAGGATACAATGAACTCTTTTAGATGTCTGCTCTAGGATGAGATGAATAACATCCAAATAGTGCTTCTTCATTTTTATGTCTGTCGAGAGGAACCTAGAACCACTGTCTGAGCAGAGACACATGGGGCTTTACTCAGTTGTCTAAATAACAGCATCACATACTGACACATTAGGTACCTAGCCTTCATTTGCCAATCCACCAGAGCACAAATCTCCAGTAGCATGATAACCAGTCCTCTGGAAGTGTCTCAGACACTCAAGGTCATCTCAGATGGCACCACCATACATCTGAATCAAGATAAACAAAAGGAATGGTTCACTCCAGCAGGACTGGACTAGATGACCTTTAAAGGTCCCTTCCAGCCTAACATATTTTATAATTCTATGATGGTACCTAAACCCTGAAAAATTGTAATCCAAGGTATTTAACATTTGAATACTAACACCCTGTTAGGCCAAACATTTTAATGCAGTCAAAACATACAGTGGTCTGAAAAGAGAGCAGAAAAGGTTGTGTTATGCAACGAGCACTAATGTTTAAGAGACCAAATGCCACCTTGGAAAACTCCACCTCTAGCCTTTGTACACACTATTCAAAATGATCATGTTCTTCTGGTAGTGGCTACCACCACGTCATGATGAAAGGAAGAACACCTGTTTCCGCAGTTTTTGCTCCTGTTTACCATGTACTTGAGTAGCATCACTTTTCAAAGCCCGCAGATTTTTTCTTAACATCAAAAAGAATATACTGCACTATGTGTACCAGCAAGCAACACGAGCAGAGGAGCTGGCATTTAAAGCGTGGCAGATAGGATATAGAACTCCAACCTGCAGATCCTGAACATGGGGCAGGACATTTTAATGCATCCAAGTACTGCTATTCAGCCTGCATCAGGGGAGCACACATTTCAGTAACTGAAGCTATAGTACAGCTCCACATTGCAATGCCCACAATATAACATGCATAAGCTGAGATGGAAGAGGAGGTTTTAGCAGGCTAAGGTGACTCTATGAGTCTATGCCTTGCAATTAGACACACAGCAGGTATACATTTCTCTCTCCTACACACAAGAAAAATTTTACAAGTTACGTCTTTACCAAGCGGCTGTGAAATCCAGCAAAAACTCAACAATTTCCCAGACACTCTGTGCCGCAGGCTGAGGCGCAGTAGGAATCAAGTCACTGGAATTTGTGTAAAATGCAGCTGAGTTTAGATTGTTTGTTACCTTCCTTGAAGGGGCAGCTTGTTTTCCTTCACAAATGCCCTTAGGAAATGTATTAGACATGCATAAACAGCTGGACTGCGCTGCCAGAGACAGCACAATGCAGGGAGCTGAAGCCACAAGAATCAGCATTTCTGACTGTGCAAATCCTGTCCTAGGGGGTTTAAAGCAGGGAGAGCAAAATAATAAAGGAAGCCCTGAGTTAGCCTTCCTGCCTCTTACACGGTGCTGTCACAAATGGCATCCACACAATTGCTGAGCCAACTGGATTATTTTAACTCCAGCCTGCTGGGCTGCAATCAGAGAATCACAATACACTTGGCAGGTATGTAGCTTGTTTTATTGTTTAGCCATTGCCGTACCATGGCACAGCTTTAAATGTGAAAACAGAAAGCAATTGCTTCTAAAAACACATTAAAAATAAATAAATGGAGAAGGCCTGCAATGTGTAAAAGCTGACCCCATTGTTTTTAAATAACTTTATGTAATTTTATACATGTAAACACAGTAGGTACAGAATTATGCTGCTAAAAAGACTAAAAACCCATGCAATTTTCTGAAGATAGACTGTTTTTTAGCCACCTCTATGCATGGAAAATGATGTGGATCTGTTACATCAAGCCTAAGAGGACTTCACCTGGTACATGCTGCTGAAGAAGTCCTAAAGTGAGTGCCCAGATTTTAGGTCAGCACTTCGATATCTAAAGCATACACAAAACAAAGTTTCAGTAGATTTTAGGTCCTCTGTCTGCTTTAGCTGACTCTTACACGTCTTCCTTCCACTAGGAAATGGCCACATCTACCAGATGACAGACTGATCTGAAGTGGACCTCTCTCAACCACTCCTGATAAATCTATTCCATACTGTATGGAAACCCATAAAAATACATTGGCTGGGGGGCCGGGAACAGTTTCCACCTCCTAGATGAAAATCTTGAGCAGTGGAATATGAAGTCATTCTCTGTGTCCTAAACACATGCAGGATCTGAGAAGGCCCTGTCACAGAGTATTTCATGGTGCTTGAACAGTTTCTTTAGTGAGATGAGCACGGAAAGGACTTGAATTTGATCTGAACATTCCAAGTGAATGCTATAACCACTTGCAAAGCCGTAGCTTCTTACTGCCCTGTCCTCTGTGTCTATGAAATGCCCTTTTCTAGGAGCTCCTCAGCCATTTCTCACTTATCTCCAAAGGAAACTCTCCACTCAGCAGTCTCTAGTGTGCGTCTCATTTCTAGGTTCTTATTTCTCCTTTGCACTGTACAAGGAACCTTTTACATCTAATTTTCAGTTAAAAATTTTGCTGAGTGACACGCTCCCTCCACTGCTTCAGGAGTTCTTCCACCAAAATAAAAAACAGTGTTACCAGCTATGTTTTCTTTCCCAGTTCATAGTATAGCATGAAAACTCAATGTTTGCTCTACTAAAAGGTATACATTGCCTACTTCAGTAAGGACTCATCAAACAGCACTGTACCTCCAGTTTCCTTATCTACCATGTCCATGCTCCATAGTCATTGCTGTGTACATGTACAGTGGTATAGACTGACTGTTTTGGAGAAGGTTTCATCTCATCTACCTGAGAACATGTTATGTACATGTGTTTTTTTAAATTAATGATAAGAAATAAATACTTTTAGGACAAAAATGCACTTAAGTGGAAGGTTGATATCTATACTATGGTCAAATGAACTTCACCCTAGAAATGCCAGTCTCTCATTTTTGAACAAGACTGGAGTTTTGGATGGCTATTTAAAGTATACATATCTTCTTGGTATATGCCTGTCAATCATCTCTGTTAGCTAGTATCTTGATATAATCCTTAGAAGAACAGAGCAGAATAGCAGAAGTTACCTCACATGATTCTACATAATAGAAACTGTTACCTGAGCTTTTGTCACGTTTCTCATAATTTCACTTTCAGAACAGAACTCAAGGTCTGCAGTAACACTACAAATTCACGCGTGACAAGCTACCAAGTATAAAACAAAAAATTAGAGATTACTTTTTTTTTTCCCAAAGCTAGACCTTGTAAAACTTCCTCTGAAAGGCCTGTAACCCCAACAGCACACTGGCTCCATTTACTTTGCAGTATTTTTAGAAGTAGATATTTGGAATCTCTGCCTTGCTCCATGTTATTGTGTTCTGAAAGCACAATAGGATTTATTGCCCTTTTCTTTCTTTAAATAGCTGCTCCATTTTTACTGCATGTTGCAGACTTTCCTCTCTAATATTTGGGGGAAGGGGATTTAATGGTTCCCACCAGTAAAGCCATGAATTCTACCAATTATTTAGAGGCTCTGTAAATGTTTTAGGTGCAGCTGATTTCAGAGTGAGAACTGTCTGCACCACAAGCCAAGCGTGACAAGGCTAAGGTCTTCTTTCCCTTTATAATGTTCCTCATTTACTTTTTGGCCATGCCCACCATGTAAATAAAAGGCCAGTTTATGCTCCATACAGCACTGCTGCAGCAGCAATGACCCCAGTGAAGTCCCTGGAAATACAAGTCCAAAGAGGATTACACTGCTCATGAAGGCCTTGCAAAGATTAAACCTTTGGCTTTTACAGCTCTTTTTATTTTAACACTGTGACTCTTGGCTTCTTGGTACCTTTTGGCATATCACCATGTGTCCCCACCAGAACAAAGCGTGCTTCTGTGGAGAGAAGCTGGTGGAAAATATGGTCTTGGATCCTGCAGCTGAGCAGCCTGTCATTTGTTGACATTTGTGACTCTACCCAAATGTGAGCTCTATTTCTGCTACAGCATCAGCCTCATGAGACTCCAGACAACTGCTTTAATTCTCTGATTCTGACAACCAGGTGTAAAACGGAAATAAAGACACACTCAGTCTCTCCCGGAGT